ATTCTGTACTAACCCAGTACGGAGTTATTATCAGTTTAATCGTGAAATGTCACATTCTGTACTAACCCAGTACGGAGTTATTATCAGATTAATCGTGAAATGTCACATTTTTTTTTCTTTACTAACCCAGTACGGAGTTATTATCAGTTTAATCGTGAAATGTCACATTCTGTACTAACCCAGTACGGAGTTATTATCAGATTAATCGTGAAATGTCACATTCTGTACTAACCCAGTACGGAGTTATTATCAGATTAATCGTGAAATGTCACATTTTTTTCTGTACTAACCCAGTACGAAATTATTATCAGATTAATCGTGATATTTCACCACAACTCCTGCTATCAGACAGATGGGTGTGTTTTTTAATACTCTAGCTTAGTGTACAGATTGCGCTGTCTTGAAAGGAACTACTCTGAACAAAACTTATTCCAAACGTTACAGACCTCTTCTTGAGCTTCTCAAATCCATCGGACAACATAAATCCTGCCAACACCCCTGCAACAGAGAAATGCTTATAAACATATACAGTTCTTCGTGATATCTAGAAAACTAGGATCAAGTGATACTCGAACCATTATTCCGAACTTAACTATTCGAGAGCATAACACTGCCCTCATCACTTCCTTGTTTTTGTTGTTGTTGCTGTTGTTTCGTTTTTGTTTTTTTTTAGACTGTAATCAACACTAGTTCTCCGTGGATATTTATAATTGATAAAACTGAGGTTTCATCTGGTTTATGTTTGGTTAAGGGCAGCACCCGGACACATCGAAGCTAAGAGCTAACAGAATTTGAACTCGTGTCGTTTTACGAATATATCAATAGGCATTTTAGATTGGAAAACCATGGGGTTCTAACTGGTATTATTTAGGAAAAGTACCCATCCTCAACAAGGTATTTTTCTCGATTAACAAAATAAGGCCGTTTTCTCCCCACCCTCAGCGTCAGGTGGGTATTAATCACCAGGCCTGGGTCTGTATACTTGACGGACTAAGTTTATTTTTTACAAAACATCGTGGTTTTCTTGAAACCTGACACAATCACTCACAACCTGTACAAAAAGAAATACGTAATACGTATAATACATGGTTACTCTTCGTCCTAATTTATATTATCGTATTCCATGTAATAGGCGGCGCTATAAAAGACGCCGGTTAGTATCCTTATTCGTTAAATGATCTGTTTATTCAACATTGTACTCAATAAAAAAAAACTTGGTTACTGCATTCTGTTCGTGCTGGTCAAAGTTCATATCGGTTGTGCCACCCACCTCATGCCTAAAGCGGAAGACACTTTGGTCAAGGCCTAAAAGCAACCTTACAATATTGTCTCGCTCGTGTTACACAGAGGCCTAGAATCAGAGGAGCTATGTATCCAGCCGCGTGGCCTCTGTACTTAATATATAGTTATGAATGTTACAACTTACGACAACGTTTCTCGTAAATAAACAACAAATTGACGCTTTTGTCCGAAAATAACAGCGTATTTCGTTTCGGTAATAACAAATAAAACTACAAAAATAGCAAGGACGTTTCATATGTGATTTATTTTAAAAGTAACCAATTGAGAAACAATAACGGATAATTTATAATAACCTGAAACTTACTTGTTAGAGTAACCAATTGAGAAACAATAACAGATAATTTATAATAACCTGAAACTCACTTGTTAAGAGTAACCAATTGAGAAACAATAACAGATAATTTATAATAACCTGAAACTTACTTGTTAGAGTAACCAATTGAGAAACAATAACAAATAATTTATAGTAAGCTGAAACTTACTTGTTAGAGTAACCAATTGAAAAACAATAACGGATAATTTATAATAACCTGAAACTTACTTGTTAGAGTAACCAATTGAAAAACAATAACGGATAATTTATAATAACCTGAAACTTACTTGTTAGAGTAACCAATTGAGAAACAGTGACAGCATCTCACATATAACGATTTGAAACAATTCTAAAAGAAGTCGATTCAGAACCAATAAAATTA